GAAACCTTAAGAGACCCTAAGCTTTCACCTCTGGCTGCCTTTTAACTTCTGTTCAAGCAAGAAGTGAAGGCAAAGGCAGATTTTTAAATAGTGGCTAAGAATTGAAAGAACCTGGAGAGTATTGAAAGACCTGGAGAGTGTTCCAAACACATATTTTGGCTCCAAGAATTTAAGGAAATTTCTGTTAAATCACTAGCTGACCACTAAGTTAATGGAACAGAGACTTCTGTGACCATACTTGACAAAGAATACGATATTTTTTTTAAAAGAATTTAGAAAAGTCACTAAAGAAATAGCTAAAACCCACTCAAGCAGCGGCACCAAACCCTAAGAAGACAAATCTGATTTCCAGAGTTACCACATTATACTGTACAAAATGTATAATTTTTTAAAAGATTTTATTTATTTATTTGAGTGAGAGAGAGCGCATGAGAGGGGAGAAGGTCAGAGGGAGAAGCAGACTCCCCATGGAGCTGGGAGCCCAATGCAGGACTTGATCCTGAGACTCCAGGATCATGACCTGAGCTGAAGGCAGTTGATTAACCAACTGAGCCACCCAGGCGCCCAAAATGTCAGTTTTCAACAGTTCTCAACAAATTTTGCTTTCAGAGAGCAATGTACGGTCCATTTCGAAGGAAAAAGAAGAAATAGAAAAGCTCAGACATTACACTTAACTACAGACTTTAAATCAATTGTCTTAAATATACTCAATAACTTAAAAGGAACCATAGGAAAAGAACTCAAAGGAAACAAGAATGATGTATTAACTGATAGAGAACATCAACAAAGAGATAGAAATTTCAAAAAGTTATCAAGTAGAAATTCTGATACTGAAAAGTACAATTGCCGAAAGGAGAATTTCACCAAAGAGGTCCAATAGCAGATTTGAACAGTCAGTAGAAAAAGAATCCATGAATTTGAAGATAGGTCAATTAATATTATCCAGTGTTAGAGAAAAAAGAATAAAGGGAAGTGAAGAGAGTTGAAGATATCCTTCTGACATCATTAAGTGCACCAACATATATATGATAGGAATTCCAGAAGGCAAGGACAAAGAGAAGAAAGCAATATTTGAAGAAACAATGGCTGAGAACTTCACATAATAATGAAATATGTAAATCTACTCTAGGATAAATTCACAGATACCTACGCATTACAATTAAACTGTCAAAAACTAAGACAGAATCATGAAAGTAAGTGTTGCTAGTAGTCTTACCCTATTTTAAAAAATGCTAATGAGAGGGACGGTGGGTGGCTCAGCGAGTAAAGTGTATGCCTTCGACTCAGGTCATGATCTTGGGTCATGGGATCAAGTCCTGCATTGTGTTCCTTGTTCAGCAGGGAGCCTGCTTCTCCATTTGCCTACTCTGCCTGCTGCTCCCCCACTTGCATTCTCTTTCTCTCTCTCAGACAAATAAATAAAAATTTTTTAAAAGTTGGGGGGGAGTCCTTAAGGCTGAAATGAAAGGACACTAGGTGGTGACATGAAGTTATATGAACAAATAAATGACACCAGTAAACGTAACAACACTGGTAAATAAAAGCCAGTGTGATTGTATTTTGGGTTTCTAACTACTTTTTTCTCCCTGTGTGATTTAAAAGACAAATGCATAAAATAATTATAAATCTGTGTTAAGGGGAACACTGTATAAAGATGTAATTTATGAAAACATTTAATGAGAGCCCTAGAGGAGTAGAGTTTGTTTTAATATTATTGACGCTAAGTTGGTATTAACTCAAACTAGATTGTTACAAATTTAAGATGTTAATTATGATCTACAGAGTAGCCTACTGAGAAAATAGCTGTTTGGTTCCATTTATATGAAATATCTAGGTGACTCCATAGAGACAGGAAGTAAATTAGGGGCTAGAAGAAGCAGGGAGGAGTGTGACTATTGAGTGGGGAAGGAGTTTTCAAATGGGGTGATGAAAAAGTTCTGGAATTAGATAGTGGTGATGGTTATTTAACATTGTGACTGTACCTACTACCATTGAGTTGTACACTTTAAAAAATTTTATGTACAGGAGCGCCTGGGTGTTTCACTTGTTAAGCAGCATGCCTCAGGTCATGATCCTGAGTAGGATCAAGGTCGTGTCCCACATCAGGCTCCCTGCTCAGCAGGGAGTCTGCTTTTCCCTCTAACACTCCCCCATCTCATGCTCAATCTCTCTCCTTCTCTCTCATTCTCTCTCTCTCAAATAAATAAAATCCTTTAAAAAATAATGAAAATAAAGTAAAATAAAAAATTTTATGTACATTTTACCATAATTTTTTAAAAATTATACAAACAGAAAGAGTATGGTATTGGCATAAAATAGACATAAGTATCAATGGAATGAGATTGAGAGCCCAGAAATAAACCCACGTATTTATAGTCAATTGATACTCAACAAGGTGTGAAGACCATTCTGTGGTCAAAGAATAGTTTCTTCCACAAACAGTGTGTGGTCAACTGTATATTCACATGCGAAAGAATGAATTTGGATCCCTACTTCACATTATATACAAAAATTAACTCAAAATGGGTCAATAACCTAAATGTAAAAGCTAAAACTCCCAAAGTGTTAGAAGAAACCTAGTAGTAAACCTTCATAACGTTGGATTTGGTGGTGGAGTCTTAGATATGACATCAAAAGCACAAGCAAATTGAACTTCATCAGTATTTAAACCTTTCGTGCGTTAAAGCACATTATTGAGGTAGTAGAAAGACAATGTACAGAACGGAGAAAACATCTGCAAATCATACCTGATACAGATTTTATATACAGAATATATGAAGAACTAAAAAAAAAAAAGCATATATAAAGAACTTTTACAACTCAATAACAAAAGGACAAATAATCCAATTCAAAAAATAGGGAAAGGATTTGAATAGACATTTCTCCAAAGGAGGTATATGAATGGCCAATAAACATATGAAACGTACACAACACAGCATTGTTAGGCACTAGGGAAATGTAAATCAAACCACAATGAAATACAACTTCACACTCACTAGAATGGCTACTGTTTTTTGTTTTTTGTTTTTTGTTTTTTAAGATTTTTACTTATTAGCATGAGCAGGGGGAGAGGGCAGAGGGAGAGGAAGAAGCAGATGCCCCGCTGAGCAGGGAGCCCATCACAGGGCTGATCCCAGAACCCTGAGATCATGACCTGGGTTGAAGGCAGCCACTTATCAGACTGAGTCACCCAGGAGCCCCGGCTATAATTTTTTTTTTTAAATAGGAAGATAAGTGTTGATGACTGTGTAGAGAAATTTAAACTTCTATACATTGGTAGTAGTAATGTAAAATGTTGTAGCTGCTTTGTGAAACGCTTTGGCCATTCCTCAAAAACTTCAACATAAGAGTTTTGATGTGACCCAGCAGTTCCACTCCTAAGCACATACCCAAAAGAATTGAAAGCAGATAGTCAAACAAATACTTGAACATGAGTGTTCACAGTAGCACTGTTCTCAATAGCCGAAAGCTCAAAACAACACAGATATCTTTTAATGGATGAATGGATAAACAAATCGTTACGTATTCAATGCAATATTATTTGGTGATTAAAAGGAAGTATTAATTGATTCTTCAACATGGATGAACCTAGAAAACATGTTATGTGAAAGAAGCAAAACCCAAAGACCCACATATTTATATTGTCTGGTTAAAATGGTGAATTGATGTTACATAAATTTTCCAACAATCAAAAGTGATAATAAAGTTCCATAGGAAAAAATAAAGAAGGGCAAAAAAAGCTGTTTTGGATTACAGAGGTTGAAGAGACAGGACAAGTAATTAGGATTGTGGATTGCATCTTGGGCTAGGGTAAATAGTTATAAAAGAAATTATTGGAATAGTTAACTAAATTTAAAAGAATGGATGAGATAATAGTATGTATCAGTATTAAATATCCTGGTTTTATTAAATTTGTACTCTGATGTGTAAGAGAATGTCTTTGTTCATAAGAAGTATATAGTGAAGTATTTAAATATAAAGGGATGTGTGTATTGAACTTTCAGAGGTATAAAAGAATGTTTATATAAAATGATAAAGCAACTAAGGTAATTTAAACTATTGGTGAATGTAGGTAAAATGTATAATGAGGGAAAAAAGTATAATTTCTTATATTGATCTTTCCACTTTTCTGAGTTTGAAATTATATCAAAATTAAAAGTTGGCAACAGAATTAGATTTCTTTTTGTCATCTTTGGAACAGCAGCATAGTCCAGATGATTGTTAGAAAAAAATACTGCTAGATATCCTCCTTTGTCTTAGTTGCCTCTTTAAAAGACTTTTTTGTGTTTCTCAACTTCTGGATCCCAGTATTTATTCTATTGGCTTATAGCAATCTCTCTGTACGATCATTACATAATTAATGTAAAGTACTCAGCTTTTATACATATTTATTGTTCTAGCTAGTAATGTTATGCCTTTGGAGCCTGTTCTCATTTTATGTATTTTTTCTTATTCACATACTTTATTTTTATGGTATCTTGGGTCATGTAAATATGTAACCGTTTGTCTCCCTTTTTTGAGAAATTAAAATGTTAAGTTCCCAGTGAAAGGCTTTGCTGCTCTAGTTCTCTTCCAGTAGCTTTTTTTTTTTTTTTTTTTTTGGTCTGAAATTTCTGTTCAGTCTCTTGGTAGAATATCAAGTGTGATATGAGATCTAACCTTAATTTGAACACATTGGACTATGTGTTCATTTTTGTCAGTTCAAAGAAATCTCTCAGTGCTGTCAAGCAGGACCATGCTTTCTGTCCACCACAGATGAGTCAGAGAAGTCCTTTCCTACCTAGAACGTGCCATCAGAACCTCACTGCTTTGTTAGCATTCAGCTATGGACTTTTTAACCTGTTTATAAGGTTATTGTTTCATATGAATAAGCGAATACCCAATAGAGCCTATTTTGGAAAGGTTTATTAAGAAGACCGTGCTGATTCATTTGGTCCTTGAATTTTCAATTGGTTAACGAGTTTTCTTTCTTTTGTGGTGTATGATGGGATCTTCACTAGACAGAGGTAACCTATTGGATAGTTGTGTACCTGGATGCTGGTGTGGTGGTGCTTGTTGATTTAGTTTTCATGACACTCCTCCTGAGGTTGTGCTTGCAATGCTGCTGCTTAATTTTGTGCTTGCATGACATTATTACTTTGATTGCTCTTTGTTGTTTTGGGTTCTTAAAACCTCCTAATTCTATTTTTGGTACCCAGAACAATTCTTTGACTATCTTTAGTTGGTCCAGAATTTATGGAAATTAGTTCCAAGTCTAACTCTTTGGTGGATCCTTTTCAGTTTTTAAAAATATCTTCAGTGTCACCACTCAGTTTATCATTTGGCTAGAAATTCAGAAAACAGAGTGGCTTTGCTTAAACATGCAGGAGGAGACCACTTGCCAGACACACCATTACTAAGGCTAAGAATGAACTCTGTGAGTTTTATAGATTAAATAAAATTAATATATACTTAGAATAAAATCTAAGTTTTAGGAGAGTTTCATCAAATAGCTAAAACTTAGGCTCCTCCAGCAAGGTGTCAATAATACAACTAAATTAAATCATGCCTAAATCTTAGCATGCATGTCTGATTTGCCGTTATCTTTCAGAGGTGCTCTTTGCTCTGCAAACTGTCCTACATTCCAAACCTAAGATTCTTGGGGTCAAAAGGTAAAAATTAAAATTAGTATTTCAGAAATTAGTTTTATGAGCATTTGTGTGGTCCTTGAAAATAGTTGCTTACTTACCCATTTATGATCCCAAGTAGTATAGTTTTTCTTGGGCAGTTAGCTGACTTTGGGCAAATTGTACTGATATCATTTTGTTTTGTTTTGGTTTTCCTACTTTATATGCCTCTACAGAAAAAAGGTGGATTGTTTTTATTTTAAATTTTTAAGCTTTAATTTTAAATTCCGTATAGTTAACATACTGTGTTGTATTAGTTTCAGGTATAAAATATAGTCATTCAAGAATCCAGGTGGATTGTTTCTTTGTTTTGTTTTTTTTTTTTGTTTTTAAAGATTTTATTTATTTATTTGACAGAGATTACAAGTAGGCAGAGAGGCAGGCAGAGAGAGAGAGAGAGAGAGAGGAGGAAGCAGGCTCCCTGCTGAGCAGAGAGCCCGATGGAGGGCTCCATCCCAGGACCCTGGGATCATGACCTGAGCTGAAGGCAGAGGCTTTAACCCACTGAGCCACCCAGGCGCCCCTAGGTGGATTGTTTTTAAACCCTAGAAACAAAACCAGTCCCGGAATGAGCCAGTATATGTCAAATAGCAGGAGTTCATAAAATTGAAATTATTTTCTAGTGTTCATATTAAGTCAGTGTTGAAACAGACAAAATCATCTTTTGTCTTATAATTTTAATCATCTTGAAAACTGTAAAGGATCCATTAATTTGGAATGGCCATCAGAGAATTGCTTATGATAAATAGCATAAAACTGTTACATAAAAGTGGTGATTGATCTCTGCGTTCTCATTCTGCTATGTCTTCTTTTTCTCTCTTGGTGGGACCCATATATAATAGAAAATTGCCCAGGAACGAGAAAAATTTGCTGATGAAGGCAGTATATTTTACACACTTGGAGAATGTGGACTCATATCTTTTTCGGACTACATTTTCCTTACAACTGTTCTTTCCAGTAAGTATACTTTTTTCTTTTTATTCGTTTGTAGGGAGCTTACAGGACTATGAAAAAAGTTGATTGGAGGGGAAACAACATGTTTGTAGAGTTAATGAATTATAAGTTACATATAATTTCATTTGTTTGAATTCTGTGTAACTTGTATATAGAACCACCTGAGAAAAAGGAAAAAAAATAAAGTATCAAAGTAAAGGTAAGGGAAAAAAAAACCCTAAAAGTTAAATCTGCCTTTAAGTGATTGAAGCCCTGTTATCTGTGAAAATAGATTATACATTGCCTGGTGTTATATAGCCTTTATTAATGTTTCTACTTCCCCATTAAAACACATATTGATCTATCATTTCTCCACTGAAGAAGAAAATTGGCTCAGTTTTTCTAATTGGGTTGAATATTCACTTTTGAATCTTAGAGGATTACTCCTTAAAACACTAAATTCATATTTGACTCATTTAAAACACTGATGAATTGCTGATTTTTTTTAAACTAAACAATTTGTTTGATAAATACGCTACTCTATATGGTTTTTTTTTTCTAACCATTCAGAAAAACCAAAAAAAAGTATGTTTCTGGCTTTCTCTATATATTTTATTAAAATCTGTCTAACTTGGGGCACCTGGGTGGCCCAGTCAGTTAAATGTCTGCCTTCACCTCAGGTCATAATCACATGGTCCTGGGTTTCAAACCCCGCCTTGGCTTCCCTGCTCAGCCGGAAGCCTGCTTCTCCCTCTACCTGCTGCTCCCTCTGCTTGTGCACATGCTTAGTCTCTCTCTCTATGTCAAATAAATAAATAAAATCTTAAAAATTAAAAAAGAAAATTTACCTAAATTGAACCAAAGAGATCTGATTCATATGTTTGAAAGAGGTGATTCTGAAATCTTTTTCAGGTGTCACTTATCAAACAAAAATAACTGCCTCTTCCTCCCTTCTCTAGGCTAGTCATCTGTAAAGATAAAACTTTAAGGTAGTTTGTAATAAATGACATACACAATAGATAGTTCCTGCCATAGCTCTTCTGACTATTCTTACCCTTCTTCCCTCCACTGACAGAAAAATGAAGAAATATAGGCCAATATGCCTTACCACAGCTGTCTTTGGGATACCAAAGTGTCTGAATAAATTCATGTGGTGGACCAGTGCTCTAACAATGTAGCTATGTATCGATTTGTTACGAAGATCCAGAATAGTGAGCGGAAAAAAAAGAACACTTATGATCTGAAGTTGAGTATTGTTAAATCTAGTTGTTATTTTGGTAGGGCATGGTTTTCCACAGTAGACTTCAGTTCAGATCTTGGCCCACCACTTCTTAGCTTTGTGATTAGGGGCAAGTTAGTGAACTTGTTCATCTGCTTTGTTTGCAAAGTGAAGGTGGCAATAATATCAAATGCAAATTACTTATTTGAGGATTATAATATCATGGATATGAAGTACCTAGTTCAGTGCCCAGTATTTAGTAAGTTTACAGTTTGCCTGGGTTTTTATTTTTATTTTTTTTATATTTATTTATCTATTTGACAGAGATCACAAGTAGGCAGAGAGGGGGGAAAGCAAGCTCCTCACTGAGCAGAGAGCCAGATGCGGGGCTTAGTCCCAGGACGCTTAGATCATGACCTGAGCCGAAGGCACAGGCTTAATCCACTGAGCCACCCAGGTGCCCTTGCCTGGGTTTTTATTCTTGATATCCTATCACAGAATGCCATTTCATTCCTGATTTTGAAAGATCCATAAATCTTGTCATTAAAAAAAAAAACACAGCAGAATTGATAGGAGTTTTTAAGCCTTTTTTGTGACTGTGAATAGAATTTGCATTCAATATGCATGATATGTCAGAAAATACTTTAAATGAAGAGACCAGCTTAGAGAACTGTACTGATAATACTGTGTGCAATGGCAGTAGTCCCTGTAAATGTCTGTTGAGCTGAAATGAGATTTTAATTTATAGCTACTACTCAGTCCTCTTACCTTCGTATCTTTCAAAGCGTCAGAAGGACCACAGAGCCAAACCTTCAGATTACCAAGCACACTGTGTAACTCCTTTAATTCAGCTGTTTAAGGCAGGTAAAATTGCACTGACCTGTAAATTCTGGGAACCACTCCAAGTACCTCTACTGGTCTAGGCACCTTTGCTTTTTGGTGGTCAGCTGCTAGCTTAAATATAGTGGGTGATTTACAAAAAGTACTTAATATTACAATGTCACATACAGTTGACCCTTGAACAACTCTGGGGTCAAGGGTGCTGATACTCTCCCCAACCCTCACAGTTGAAAATCTATAAAAAACTTTTAATTCCCCCAATTCTCGATTTATAATTACTGCTGCTAAAAATAAAAACAAGAAAGCTGCTCTTCTGGGGTGCTTGACTGGCTCAGTCAGGGAAGCAAGCAGCTGTTGATCTCGAGGTCATGAGTTTGGGCCACACATTGGGCATAGTACTTTAAAAGAAAAAAAAAGAGTGGGCAATGATGTAAAATAAAGCTAGATACCCTTATTAAAGAAAAGAAGAAAGAGAAGGGAGGAAGGGAGAAAAGAAAGAAGCTTTTCTTTAAAAAGCATATTAGGGATGCCTGGGTGGCTCGGTTGGGTGGCTGCCTTCGGCTCGGGTCATGGTCCCGGTGTCCTGGGATTGAGTCCCACATCGGGCTCCTTGCTTGGCAGGGAGCCTGCTTCTCCCACTGCCTCTGCCTGCCACTCTGTCTACCTGTGCTCGCTCTCGCTCCTCTCTCTCTGACAAATAAATAAATAAAATTTTTTTTTAAAAAGCATATTATATAAATAAATATTTAAAAAGCATGTTATTGTAATTTGACCTATTAAATAGAGTCAGTTCTTCTTATTTAAACTTTTTTAGAAGTTTGATTTTTAGCTAAACAAGAATATCTTGGACACCCACCAAGAGTAACAACCAATTTGGCAGAAATATTGTGTACTTTTAATCACCAGTGGCATAATTTCTCACTCTAATCTGTATGTGCTTTGGATAATGGGGGCCCTCTTTGGCCAACTGAAATTTTTTAAACACTTTTAAAAGTTTTAAACACTGTCACACACACACACACACACACACACACACACACACATACATATATACCTCGTAAACCCCTTTCCTACTTTATTTTTTTCTCCTTGGCACTTAGCATTTAACGTTCTATAGAGTTGATTTCTTTTTCTTATTTATGTATGATTACCTAGAATGTAAACTGCATGACAGTGATCACAGGTTTATAATGATATTCACTACAAATTTGCAATGGTATTCGCTATAGATGTATCTATTCCACATAAAGCATTGAGGCAAAGTAACAAAGCAAGACTATAACATTTTTTAAAAATTTTCTCCAAAAGGAAGTTTAGCAAGTGTAAGACGCATCTTTGCTGTTTATACCCTAACTTGAAAACAATTCTTGTAGTTATTGTCTTTAGTCTGCGTCAAGTACCACTGGAATGAAGGAAATGTGTTTCTCAATTAATCAATTTCCACATAAGCTTGGCTTCTTATAATTCAGAATTTATGTATTGATATCCTCCCTTTATTCCTAATTCACACATTCTGTTGCTTTATCACATATCTGTGTGATCAGGTTTGATGGATTAACTTGAAGAATCCTCTACATGAGCCTTAGCGTCTGCATTAAAAAGAATATTAAGTATTTAGTAAAAAACTACTTAGCAATAAAATCTAGATTCATTCTGGGCAAGATAAAGAGATTGTTAATAATTACTATTATTAAATAATTTCCAAAAAGCCTCTGATCCTTAAAATAGGTTAATAAGAATTGAATGAGAATACAGAAGTATGATTATTAATGGCTTAATTATCTGCACTAACCAACTGCAACATTAGCTGATGGTCTTAAATCTAATTTTTTAATTTGTTTAATGAATTAATTTTTTATTTTTTTCAACATATACTAATACTATTTGTTTCAGGGGTACGGATTTGTGATTCATCAGTCTTACACAATTTGCAGTGTTCTCCATAGCACATACCTACCCAATGTCCCATCACCCAGCCACCTCATCCAACCCCCCACCACTCCAGCAACCCTCAGTTTATTTCCTGAGATTAAGAGTCTCTTACGGTTTGTCTCCCTCTCTGGTTTCATCTTGTTTCATTGTTTTCCCCTCTTTCCCTATGATCCTCTCCCTTGTTTCTCAATTTCCACATATCAATGAGATCATATAATAATTGTCTTTCTCTGATTGACTTATTTCACTTAGCATTATATATATATATATTTTTTTTAAAAACCCCAGCTATTTAGAAATACGATATATATATATATATATATAGTTCCATCCACATTGTTGCAAATCGCAAGATTTCATTATTTCATGGCTGCATAATATTCCATATTTTGTGTGTGTGTGTGTGTGTGTGTGTGTGTGTGTGTGTGTGTATAACCACATCTTTATCCATTCATCTCTTGGTGGCCTTCTAGGCTCTTTCTATAGTTGGACTATTATGGACATTGCTGCTATAAACATCGGGGTCAAATCACTACATTTGTATCTTTGGGGTAAATACCCAGTAGTGCAATTGCTGAGTTGTATGGTAGCTCTACTTTCAAATTTTTGAGGAACCTCCATACTGTTTTCCAGAGTGGCTGTACTAGCTTGCATTCCCATCAACAATGTAAGAGGGTTCCTCTTTCTCCACATCCTCACCAACATCTGTTGTTTCCTGACTTGTTAATTTTAGCCATTCTGACTGGTGTGAGGTGGTATCCCATCGATGTTTTTATTTGTATTTCCTCGATGCCAAGTGATATTGAGGACTTTTTCATGTGTACAGTTGTGCTTTCATTTTCATTTGTTTCCATTAATTTTTTAAATTCTTTTATTTCCTGGTTGACCCATTCATTCTTTAGTGGGATGCTCTTTGGCTTCCATGTATTTGAGTTCTTTCCAACTTCCCTCTTGTGATTGAGCTCTGGTTTCAAAGCACTGTGGTCCAAAAATATACAGGGAATGATCCCAGTCTTTTGGTACCAGTTGAGAC